TCGATCACTTCATGCTGCAGGATTTCGAGCACATCGAGAAGGACACGGAGAATGGCAAGATGGGAACTTTGGATGGCAGATCTGCTCTGGCTGATGGAGTCCAGCTTCTGGAAGATGGTGAGGTGACGGTTGCATCTGCGTCGGATTATCTGCTTAATTTGCGGGAGGCTTGGGCTCAGCTACCTGCGCCCCCGCCGAAATCGAACAAGAAGTCGCGCTCGAAGAATGTCGATGACGAGGAAGAAGAGGAGGAGTCGATGTGGGAGTGGCTCATGACCATGGTCGGGAAGTCGCCAAAAGACCGGAAGGAAGAGAGGAAGAAGTACCTCGAGAAGATTGGGGGGAGATACGCCGAACGTTACGCGGTAACACATGTCTCACCCAGCGTAGTACCGAACTACTTCCCCACCCTCCGCATCATCGAGTACAACATCACTGGCTTGGAACATCTCAGTGTAGCGTCTAGCCCAATCAGCCCGCCCACGATTGAGATGCCAGCCGAGCAACTCCCGATTACCCCCACGGATTACGACGAGTATGACAACTACGACGATGCCAACGACGAAGACGTAGAAACTACGCGAAAGAAGCACAAGGGCAAAAAGGGCAAAAAGAAGCCCCGAAAATACAAGTTCAAAGTCCCAGACGGCCCTTCGAAATCCTCTCCACCAGGCCCAGCCTATTCCCCGCAGACCCTGACATGGACACGTCACATCCAGTATTTCGCCAACCTCACACACATCAATAACGATTTCCTCGAGCCCTCGCCCGATGCAGCCATCGACGACCGTCTCTCCATCAACAACGATGCTGTTCAGACGATATTCGGATTCGGTGTTAGTACCGACGGTAGGATTGAGAATAAGAAGTGGAATGAGGGAAAGCACAAGAAACACCAGGGTAAGCAGCCGAGACCCGAACCGCATCCGAATGAGTTTATGTTTGAGGTGGAATACGATACGAAGAAAGACCACGGGTTCCAGGATCTTACTGTGAGGAGGTGGGTCGAGTATGCAAGGAAGATTGGCGCTTCCACGGGCAAGACCAAGACTATTGATGTACGCGAGGAGGATGTTGAGGAAGAGTCGGAAGTAGAAGACGATGTTGAAGGAGAAGTAGAGGACATGGTGGAGGAGAAAGAAGAAACTGATGAAGTGGATGAAAACGACTTCGTCATCACAAAACACAAGAAACACAAGCACAAAAAGGGGAAAAAGGGAAAACACCACAAGAAACACAAGGCGTCCAAGGAATGGTATACTTTTGTTAAGCGCGCGTTTGTCGGCACTATGGATCCGAAGGAGCTTAAATTGGTGTTTGGGGCTGCGGACGTCGATGATGCAATGGGAGAGGCAGAGGAGAATATGGAGTTGTAGATGGGTGCGGTACATTGTATGGGGAGTGGAGTATATGCGCTGAGGCATGTTTGTTGATACCCTTTGGCGTTTTTTTGGTCGCCAGAACATTTTCTTTACGGATGTTGGGGATGTGGACATGGTGAGTGAGTTGTATGTATATGGATGGGCATGGGAGTGGCGTCGCATTGCATAGGGCTGGTGTAGTATATAGTTTAAGAAGCATATAGCTATCGAGAAGAAAGAAATATAGGAATCGTATACAAACCCCCAATCTGAGTCTCATCTCCTGTCCACTGAGCGTGAAGTCGATGAACAGTGGCTCATGCGCCGTAGACGTAGTGGCTGCGCGTTGTATCTCCACGCAGAAAACAAGTGGTTGATTTGAATCCCGCAGTGGATTACTATTCCCCATCATGACGATTCCACGGAAATTACACGAAGTTGATAGTTGGGTATGCGCTGCTTTAGCATGGGATTTGGGTTCGGTGGTGCGAGTTCCAATATACCGCATCAGGCAACTTTGCTACCCCATTGATTACAGCGGACTGTCACTCTTTCCACCGGAAACCTTAGCCCGACTCTCCTACACTACAACTTCAAGTCCACAACGCGTGTACTGCCACCATTTTCTACTAGTTTTAGCGGCAAATCTTCTCTCCTTAAATTACAGCCTGTTATATTCTACGCGAGGTTATTGCACGCAGTTACATCTCCAGTGCCGTGGTGTTGATGTTTGTTGCTGGCAGACATCTGCGCTAGTGGAGTTCCGGCACCGAATTACCACAATGGGAAGGTTTGGGGGTGTGGAAAGCGGCGGACTGTTGCTCTATTGCTTTCACGCGGACTTGCTGGCTGGCGCGTCGTTATATACGACTGCGCAGGGCCGCTTCACGCGGTGTTGGCTGGTTCATGGAATATCTTGTACTTGCCTGTGTGTGTGAATTGAAAATCCTAATAAATGTATGTTTATACTCTTTTGCCCGTCTCTTGCCTAATCGCTTATTCATGGGCTGTAAGCTAGGCTGTGCGCCCTTCGATTCTATTATTGAGGCGAGAAGAGCGACTAAGGGAGAATGCTCGTCGTCTTTTTTTAATAGCCCTATTGAAATACTGCTACAAAGCGTGACAGCTTGTATCAAGTGGGTGTTGTGTTATAGTTTGGTACTTTGAATTGGGAATTTCGCGTTGACATGAATGTGAGAAACGGACCGCTCCTTCCTCGCTGACGTTGAATTGTACGGAGAACATTTTCAAAAGATGGTACGTTTACAAATCCTGAATGACAGCGTATCCCAGTTTTGTGGAAGACATGGGGTGAATTTGCTGCCCAATCTTGGGTCGGACATTGCACGAGATTCAGGACATGGTGCTTCGGGATTGTGGCGAGGTAGAAGCTGGAGTATAGGCGGACAGAAGTCTTAGACGGTAGCTATGCTTACTCATCATCTATAGGGAAGCGTAGAGGTGATAGTCGAAGCAGTTCGCTTTGTTGGTTCACTACCCCGCAAGAAACGCCACATGCGCCGCCACAACCCCCACAGCCACAGCTGACGTAAGGAGCCTTGGGATGTTCGAACCATCCGTTCAGTATGACACTCCACTCTTCACACGCCCAACGCACGCGATCAGGCAGCAAAGTCTGCGCACCCTCTCTTACACAACAACAGAAAAGCGTGAAAATACCAGATTGAAGTGCGACACATACCATCATCATGCCGCCGCCGCCTCCTCGTACGTCAATGCTCCTCTCCGTACTACATGCGACATGTACTGACACCGAATCCAGCACCACCGCCTCCCATGCCTGGGAAGGGAAGGGGCATGCCACCGGCTCCGCCGCCAATGGGAGGGATGAAAGCACCAGCGCCGGGTGCAGGCAGAGTTCGTCACATTCACAGGGACACCTGCACTACGTGGAACCCGGGCTAACGCGTCACAGGGAGCACTCTTGGGCGACATTACAAAGGGCGCACGACTGAAGAAAGTGACACAAATCAACGACCGATCCTCCCCTATAGTCGGCAAAGTCAGCGACGGACCTGCAGCAGCACCCATGGGCGCGCCAAAGATTCCTGGAGCTCCGGCCGTTCCTGGAGGGGCAAACCGAGCAAGAGCCAACAGCGACAATGGAGATGGAGGGAGTGTACCGGCTTCGGCACCGCAATTAGCGGGCATATTCGCTGGAGGTATGCCGAAGCTTAGAAAAGCAGGCGGTGTCAAGACAGGCGCAGAGGACCAGGCGCCTTATCTGTCAGACCCCGAATCGAACAGAGCTTCAGCTCCTCGAGGAGCAGCACCCAAACCGCCTGGACTTCCTCCTTCAGCACCTCCTGGGCCTCCAATTCCAGGTATGCGACCAGGCATGAATGCGCTCCGGGGTCAGGACTCAAGGCCCAACTCGGTAGCCTCAAGTATAAGCGGGAAGCCTAAGCCGCCTCCGCCGATTGGAAAGAAGCCTCCTATGCCACCACCCTCCTCTCGAAAGCCATCAGGTCTCGCTGCACCACCTGCTCGGGCACCACCTCTCCCAGGATCCGCGCCGCCTGCTCCTCCGCCCTTACCCCCGAGCTCGACGTCTCCTCGACCAACTGGAGCACCACCTGCTCCTCCACCACTACCACCTTCGCCAGCCCCACGAGCGACCCCGCCACCACCGCCGCCGCCTTCAGTTCCACCACCAACGAGCGCACCAGACGATGACGACGAATACGATCCGTATAAATACAATTCAGCGCCTCCCATGCCTCCACCACCGCCTCCACCCTCGAACGGGCACGCGCCGTCGCTCGCAGAAACAGCCGCGCGCAACGCATTCAGCCGCACATCGCCTGCTGCTCCCCCTCCAGCACCACCGAGCGCACCCGCGCCTTCTCCACCACCCAGCCAACCGCTCAGCCGACCCGCCTCTCAAACACCACTGCGATCGATGATGGATTCAAGCTCATACACCTTGTCCAACGGCGGATCGAGTATCAAGAGCCCGACCAGCTCGCACGCTGGAGGGAGGGAAAAGGGCAGAATCAGGCCCATTCACGATTTGAGATGGAGATTCCAGGACGAAGGGCAATTCCCACGACCAAGAGAATTCACCGGTGGACCGAAGAGATACCGCGCTGGACGAGGCAGCAGTGTGCCATTGGATTTGAGTGCGTTTGAATGAGCAGGGTCGTGACACAATGTTTTTTGGGGGCGATTTGTTGCATTGCTGCTGGTCAGAGCGGGTTTAGGGATAGATATTGAAGTTTAGCCTTGGCGTTAACGGGGTTTGGTGCCTTTCGCGGTGTGTTGTGGACGGTTAGGGAAGATTGTTGGCGAGATGGTGTATGCGTCGCGAGACGGTACACCATGGTTATATCGCATGCAATAGCAGGTACCTCAGTACGTTCAAAAATATCAACAATATATCGTAAGAGAGCGAGCAGTTGCGATGTTGTGGTATGTTACCGATTACTAAAATCTAAGGTTTGAATAAGAAGGAATCCATGTTTCAGTGACATCGCGAGCCTTGTGGCTAGGTATCGAACAATGAAAAAGTACCCTGCCCAGAAAGAGATTGAAGACAAAGAAGGAACCATTGACTGCACGTCAATCCCGATGAAGTACCAAGATCAGCTGCGACGACGACCTAACGTGCCAGATCGCCTAAGCGCTCTTCTTCCCCTTCTTCGTCCTGGGTACACGGCAGAGCCAGTAAAGCAAAATCGCCGCCGCCACATTAAACCCCACGTAGATCCAAAGCAGCCCGAAATCCCTCCAGCGCGTATCCCAATCCGCATGAATACGCTGCAGAAACTGGTTCGTCGAGTCCATCTGACAAAAGTTGCACTGCTCCGTCGCCTGCGCATCGCTCAGATAGCCACCCGCCACCCCAATATACTCAGACATGTAATCTCCACACGTCTGACCCTGCGGCGGGAAGAAAGTTTGAAACTCAGAGTCTGCGCAGTAGGCAGGCGCTTGACCCAGCGTCGTCGACATGAAGCTCGATACCAGGTAGGTGAACGGATTAACGCGGTACATGAAGATCCAGAAACCGGGTAAATCGTTGGGACCAGCGAGAATACCGCAGAAAGCGTACAGCATAATCGTAACCAATGTAGCGAGCGCACCAGCGATTTCCTCATTGGGGGAGCCAGCGATAAGGAGATGAGCGAGTGTGCTTGCGAATATGAAAACGGCGACGACGATGAGCAGGGCGTGGAAACCGCGGATGTTGACTGTGTTTGTGGCTTCTGCATTGTGGTATAGACCGGCGGGATAGTACCATACGAGGAAGCAGAAGATGGCCATGAAGGCGTTCCAGGCGAGTTCGATGACGATGTTGGAGAGGACGAAGGCTTGCCAGGCGTAAGTTTTTGATTGGCGCTCGCGGGCTTCGTAGAGGGTTCGCTGGGAGATCCACATGGGCATGATTTGGTAGATTAGTTGGATTACCTGGGATGGGTGTTAGTGGGGATACGATGTTGGCTGTAAAAGGTTTTACGTACGACGAAGAGGAAGATGAAGACACCAAACATCTGGTTCTGGAGTCCCATCATCGTGTTTTCGCTTCCGAAGAAAGAGAACCCAATTAAGAGTGAGCAGCCAATCGTCAAAATGGCCTTCGAGTAAATGTATGAAGGGGTTCTCCAATACTGCTGGGCGCACCGCATGGCTACAGCGCGGAGCTGGTCCATGGACGAGGCAGCGAAAACCTGGTGGCTGGCGTCGCCTGAGTCCATGACAGCAGAGGGCCGGTTGGCAAGTTCCCTTAGATCGGCAAGCTCGGTCTGAAGATGCATGTACTCTTTGCTGTTCTTCCAAATCGTCGGCCAGTCGATCTCGGTCTTTGCACCTGGCGCCGCGCCAATCGCCGCGAGCATGTACTCGGCGGGGTTGGTACCAGGAGGGCATGCTGATGCGCCGTTGCGGGTGAAGTAATCGAGAAGAGTCTCGGAGCCGCGACCGATCTCGCCGAAGTAGACGGTTCTTCCGCCTTTGGCTAGGAGGAGAAGTCGGTTGAAGCGCTGGAAGAGAAGAGATGAGGGTTGATGGACGGTGCACAGGATTGCTTGACCGTCTCGAGTGAGCTTCTCCATCAAATCGCAGATGGACCATGAAGTCTGACTGTCGAGACCGGATGTAGGCTCATCGAGAAAGAGCAGTAGCTTTGGACGAGCGGCGAGCTCAACGCCGATTGTGAGGCGCTTACGTTCTGTAGGAAATTAGCGAAGCTCGTAGAAGCAAAGTTGCGGTATTGGAGCTTACGTTCAACATTGAGTCCGGATCCTGGGATTCCGACTACGGCATCGGCGTACTGTTCCATGTCCAAAAGGCGAATCACGTGGTCGACGTAGGCTAGGCGCTCTTCGCGTCCGTACTCAGGCGGCTGACGCAGCAATGCTGAAAACTCCAGCGCCTCTCGCACAGTGGATGTGTCCAAGTGGATGTCTTGTTGCATGCAGTAGCCAGTCTGTCGCTGGAAGCTGTCGTCTCGCTGACGGCCATCGACAAGCATGTTGCCGCCAATGACACCCATGGTTGTTCGGCTTGCGAGCACGTCGAGCAGTGTGGTTTTTCCTGCGCCTGACACGCCCTAAGACTTGTTAGCTGGGATTCTAATTGAGTGTGTTGAACATCTTACCATAAGAGCTGTCAGTGTACCGGGCCTGATATAGCCGTCCACACCGTCTAGGATCTTGCGGGTTTCTCCCTTGATCTGGACTTCGTAGGTGACCTTCTCCCAATGGAAGATAGACACCTGCTTCTGCATTCCAGGTTCGGGCTCACTGTTACGACTGATCTTCTCGCCCTCGTGAACGGTCGCTCCGCCATTCTCCTCATCCACGCTCTGCTTCTTGGCCGTGCTCTTCATTTTGGATCGACGGAAGACTAGAACTTCGCCCTTGGACCGCTCGGAAGCAACCAACTCGCTCATAACGAGATGTGCGAGGAAGAGGATGATAGTGATAGCAATGATGATGCCATAGTTGGACCACCGCTCACTGTACTGATACTGAAAGGCAGTTTCGACGTATGCAGTGCCGTTGACGTAATCGAGGCCCGGTTGAGAACCTTGCACAGCACACGCTCGCTGTTCGGGGGCGACGTTCTCGTATGATGGGCCAGAAGGTACGAAAGATGAACAAGCGAATGTGCGACCATGGAACTCGTTGACCATGACGTTTTCGAAGCCATATGCAACCGGATTGATCCATCGGAACCAACCCGCCCATCCCTTCATATACTGGATTGGAATAGCAAATCCTGTATAGAGCACAAGCATTATCAGGATGAGAGAGCTCGGGGCAAGTGCTTGTGAAAGAGTCTTTGTCATTGAGGCGAACAGGCGGAAGAACATGCTCATCGAAAGGCCGGTGGTGAATCCAACGAGCAAGAAGTAGAAGTACGGACCGGGTTCTCGGCGTAGATTAGACATGAAGTAGAGCGTTGTATTGACCACGAGACTGTTCGTGATCTTGTATGGTAGATCTACGATCATGGAAGACAGGGCTTCTGCCGACGGATGATAAAGGGCATATCGGTTGTGCTTCTCGACGATAGTGCGTTTGGAGTAGAGGTTCATGATTTCGAGCATCGATCCGAAGGCATTGAGTAGCACCACCATGAACAAGACTCCACCGCGCTTGAAGAACGACGCTGTGGACTGGGGTAGGTTGTAGAAGATGCTCGCTATGATGAGCGCCTCAAAAAAGTTGACAACAAGCATCGTTAGAGGTACACTCGGATCGTTCTTCAGCCTCTGCACGTCTCTCCACATGCAAAGACGAATCTGTCGCCAGTACGAAAGGGTATAGGGTGACTTCTGCCGTTGCTTCTTCGATTTCTCCAGGGTTCTCGAAAGCGCAAAGCGTTCGTGTTGCTCGCCTTTGAGGGGATACGTGTTGTCGTATTCCTCTATCGCTTGCAATAGCCGTTGACGGTCGGGGCTTTCTTTCCAGCATCGAGCAAAGTCGTCGGAGGTACGCGGTGTTTTGCCTTCGAAGCCTGACCTGATACGGCGCTCAGAGGCTGACGTCATTGATGTAAGGAAGTCGGGCGTAGTCTGGGAGGCAGGGCATTCGAAGCCAAGGCGTTCGAAATATGCGCGTGCTTCGTTCGCTGGTCCGAAGTAGATCTGTCGGCCTTCGTAAAGTACGGTCACTTTGTCGAAAACCTGTGGGGAATCAGCATTGCTATTTTTCCATGTAATCATGCTATAGCTTACCTCATACGCGGCTTGTGGAGCTTGGTAAATGGCGATGACACATGCTGCCCCAAAGACATCGCACTGGGTTCGAAGTGTCTTACAGAACTCCACAGCATTAGCAGAATCAAGTCCACGAGTCGAGTTGTCCCATAGTTGAAGCGGGGCAAAACTGAGAGATGCTTCCGCGATCGTCACTCTCTTGCGCTCGCCGCCGCTGACTCCTCGTACGAAGTCGTTGCCAACGCGTGTGTTGACCGTGTGCGAGATGCCGTACATGGCCATGATAACCTGTCAAGAGTCAGTAATCGTACCGGTTGAGTCCAAATTGGAGTACGTACATCTCGAAGATGCTCGGCATAGCGCCGACGACTGATGCCACCAGGAATGGTACGAGGTGCTCGAGCCAGAGCCGCGAAGTAGAGCGTGTCGCCAACACTCAGCTGGGGAAAATGCGCGTCAACCTCAGCGGTATAGATAGCTTCCCCGCGGAAGACGGTGTTCATGTCCTTTGCTGGTACTCCTTGGTAGTTGAGATACGAGTCAGGGCTGACTTGGAAGCCGTGAGTCTCGCCTGCGATAGTCTTCAAGAGTGTGGAACATCCTGATCTATTGATCGTTAGTTGGTGTCACCGAACACGACAACAGTCAAACATACCCAGGTGGTCCCAAGACACATAGTTGCTCTCCAGGAAGGAGCAACCCATCAAGATCTCGCAAGATCTCGATCTTCTGCGTGCCTCTGCCAAACAGCGAAGGAAGCTTCAATATTGTATTCCCTACTGTCGACTGGAAGTCGGTTGGTGAACCTTTGCCCCACACGTTCAGGCCTCTGAAAGCAACGCCCGCTACGCGAGGAATGGTTTCCTCGCTACTATAACGCAGGTTATAGAAGGAGCGCGCCCAATCCTTGGCACGGAACTGGTCGCTCCTGGGATCAAGCCTAAAGATGAGTGTACGAAGTCAGTATTTGTCTCACATACAGTTCGTACATGGATATTACTAACCCCCCATGTGCATCCTCGGCGAAGGGTGAGCCAAAGTGTTGCTGTTCAGACTGTGTTGTAAACTTGCGCACGAGCTCGTGAATGTCTCGATCACGCTGTGCTTCTTGTCGAACTTTGGTCTCGTCGTCAACTCCTGTGAGACTAGAGCTAGCGTCCGACTTCAGATCTACGCGGTCAACACGTGCTTCTTCGGTTGTCGCTTGCGCTTCTGTGAAGCCTAATGCGGCTGACATGCTGGTCAGAAAGGCAGGTCCAACTTCGGGGAAACTGTGACCAGGTGAATGCGTCAATCCAGGTATGCCTGGTTCCTAGCGGTCACGAACAACATTAGTCAATGTTCTCAACTGGGGTGTATGCACGAGGATACGTACGGTTGGGAGCCCGTGAACAGATCGATTAGCGCTCGCTAAGTGTGAGCAGGGGGAGATCTGAGATGGCGATGTTTGACAGAGCCCGTAGCCCTGGTAGATTTACCTTATATCATACGATGCTTTTTTGCAAACCATGCCTTTACGACTGTGGATGATGTAAGTTCCTGCCTCGAAAGTCCCGGAAGTCCATGCCCAGGTGCCATGATTGCAGACAGTTGTCTTCGGCAATCTTGGCGCGAATGAATCGAAGTGAGCGTTCGCGTCCAGGGCTGCTGTTGGTTCCTGAAACGTGCAGGGTGCGGACATTCGGCAAAGCCCGAAAGTCCGTGGAAACCCTCGGGCTCCGTGCTGCACCAAGCATCCATCTCCACCCTCTACGAAGGATCGATCACATTATCTATTTCCTATGCGCGAAACCCCGGCAAGCCGCCCGCCGAAAATTCCGCTGTTGCGCGCGACTTTCTTCCCGGGACTTCGGCGTGCTTTTACCGAACGCTCTTAAGATGACGATGAAGCTTGCCGTAGGTACCTGCCCTAAACCTACGTCCGCAGAACCAGTCCATCTGCTAAGCTGCCATTGAAGTGTCTTCGTTGTAAACGAAAGAAGATTAAATGCGACAAAGCAGAGCCGATATGCCATCAATGTATTGCCGCCAAGGAAGAATGCCATTATGTAGAGCGAAGACAACGGCCGCGCCATGCCCACCAAAAGGCTGTCGTACAGCATCTCAGTCAGCGACTAGAACAACTGGAGAAACAAATTAGCGACGCTGGTGATGATCGGTCGTCATCCGTATCCGAAGTCGTGCCCAGACGCGATAGTATCCGAAAGAGCACTCCGGTGCCTTCACCCGAGGCCTCATTAACTGTGGCTGATGGCCAGGATTCATGGGTAATAACAGCCACAACCGGAGGCGCTCGTGTTTGCTGCGTTTTGTCTTGATATCTCGACCTCCTCGAAGGTATCCATAGCATTTCACATGGTCAACGTCCTGTCAGAATATCCCATGCGGACTTACGATGTCTTATCTTCTACTGTGTTACGAAGCACATGAGGTACATATAGCGGCAAAGGGTTGGGGTCGGCGATACAGCTTCAAAAACGCATCCCTTCATATGAGGAGCCATCAGCACACGACTCAGCACACACGAGCGCCTTCGAAAATCTTCTCAACTATCATCACAGCTAATCATGATAGATCTACCGACTTGCAACGGACACAAGACGCAGCTTCCAACACAAGGCTACCCCAGTCTCGACACCAACACCAAGCATCGACAACGCAATGCTGTCTCTCAACGAAGCGCTCGAAGACCTTGGAAAGTTGAGGGTGCGCACTGATACGCACAGCGCGGATCTGAACCTATCCTCCGCAGAAGCGCGGACGTGTATTGACGGCTTTATCTCCGTCATGAGCTCAATGCTTGCGCCAGATGCATTTTCTCGTTCCGTGATCGATACTGACCTCCTCTACGCGCTTCCCGATATTATCAAGTCTCCTTACGTCAACATCGATCCCGTGGTCCGCGTTATGTAGTAAGTAACCGATAATTAGTGCGGCTTTGTGCCACATGCTGACTTTAGGTGACTTCAAGCTACAACGCTCTGTTCTATGGACTGCAGCTGACTGACGGCCCGGGAGGAGATCTTACGACGAAGGCATACATGAAGATGCTGGAGAGCGTACCCGCTTGGCTTGAGTCTCCAGGTGACACGAATATGGACGTACATATTGCAGCCCTCTCAGCATGGACGGCAATGACTGCTCACGACTACCAGTTGGCATGGAAATTCCACTGCAAATCGTGCCAGCACATCAAGTCGATCGGCATAGATCGCCTAGATATGGTCCCGGCAAAGTCATTCGAAGAAGAAACCGAGAGAGATGTTGGTCGCTACACCTACTGGTATGTCGTATCGATCGACACATTCTTCCGTTTGTTCTATGGGAAGCCCACTGTTCTGCGATGGTCGCCAAACAAGGTCCGCCCGCCCCTACTCTTTCGTCCCGACAACATGCATCCTTCGGCGCTCCATGTTACCATCAGTGTCGTGTGGGTGCGATATACCCTGTTGACCGTAGAGGCGATCGGTTACATTGACGAAAACCCGCCACACGATCGCAACAGCTGTGTCCAAAAGGCTGACGAAGCTTGTTCGCAAATGGAAGACCTCATCAGCGAATGGAGATTGGAGGAGGTGATGAACGGCAAAGAGACTACAGATGATGTTCGCTGTCTTCTTGCAGATCACATCAGTAGGTAAAGTGCGGCAATGAGCTAAGATTGAGCTGACCTCAAATTCAGTGAACATATATGCGACTATCATCGGTATTCAGAGGCTGGTACAACAGCACCGAACGAGACCCGGACCTAAGGACATCACCCTCAGAGCCGCACGAAGAGTTTTGAGCATTATCCTTGACTTTTATGCGGATATTAACCTCAACGCTAAGTTTAAGAGTATCACGAATCAGTAAGCCGCCACTCTCTTTACTTCGCGCCAAGCATCCGCTGACTTGGCCCAGTTTCATAACGCTCTACCCTTTTTGCGTCGTGTTCACACTCTACGAACACATTGTGGCGTGTACCAATCCAGATGATTGCGAAAGCGATATACAATCTCTCGAGACGATCGGCGTCGCCATGGCGCAAAGCTGCGCAGAGCGTCAGGACTTGATACCGTTTGCCAAGACGATCAATGCACTGAACAGGGTCTCGCGGAGTCTACAAGATGAGAGACGCAGAGGCCCAGCCACCGTGGATTCCAGCGACAGCGTTGCTCAAGGGATGAACATGCCGCCGACAAGTTTCGATACGATCCAGAACTTGATGGCCAGCGAACTCCCAGACATTGACATGTCGGCCTTTTCATCGATGCCGGACTACACCGCGAATATGGATGGCGACTTCCAATCTCTCGGCTTCTTGAGGGGGCTTGAGAATGACTTTGTCACGCGGAATTGGCAGACTGATTGGTGGGATCTTGGTGGTGGGGGTGATGGCGACATTAGCCAGATGCCAGCGACGGATCCCACAGGCTTTCCCTACACTCCACACACATAAGGAGGGCAAACTGTCAACGAAGCTCGACCTTAAAGGGGCGATGGATCGCTTCGGTGACCTTTGGGTGTATATATTAATATTCGCATGTCTGTATCATAGCTGTTTTAGGGTAGAGATGTGTGGTTTACTTACTGAATGGAGAATCTCGAATTGCGTCCACCAGTTAACCCTCACCAAGGATTTCCGGGTATATAAAGGCGCAGGGCAGAATACTGGACATATCAGCTCAGGCCTACCCCACCTCATGTCAGTACTTTGGCTATCCTGTACTAGCTCTCGTTGCCCGCTCCACTGACGCTATGCACCAGACAACATGCGGTACATCCACCAGTCAGCTTATCCGAGAACACATTGACCTTATACGAATTCATTCCTTGAACAATTGAGCATATTTTCAGAATATCACAATTATGCCCCCAAACTACACGCTCTACGGACTTCCCCACACAAAGCCTCCCAAAAGTTCCGACACCAGCCTCCTTCCTCAATACATCGCGTGCGGTCCACTTCCCAGTAACAATGCAACCTCCATTTCCTCTCCCACAGCAACCTGGCACAACGAGTCCTACGCCGCCATCGACCCATCGAATCCCAATCTCAGCCAAATAGGAAAAACAGTCATCATAACCGGAGCCGGTAGCGGCATCGGTCGCGCAACCGCTCTTGCCTTTGCGGAAGCCAGCGCCGCCCAGCTGGTCCTAACCGAACGTACTGAGTCGACCCTTCGAGAAACCGAGAAGCTACTTGGTGACAGCAAGTCAGACTGCATGGTCTTCCCCGTCTCAGCAACCGACGAGACTGCGATGCAGAATGTTGCTGAACAGGTCGACGCATGGGATGTCCTTGTTCTTGCCGTAGCGCAGATTTCTTCGCCGTCCTCGAGCGGCGAAGACTGGTGGGTAGACTATGAGATGACCGTGAAGGCGATAGTCATCGCTTCACGGGCTTTCGTTCCGAATGCGAAGTCTGATGCAGCGCTGTACACGCTTGCAGCAGGTGCAGCGGCTTTGCAGTCAGCGTATACACCTGGACGATCGGCCTACTTTACTTCGAAGGTCGCGCAGACAAAGATCGTCGAGTTTCTTGCTGCGGAGAACCCAGATCTGTTGGCGTGTGAATCCTGGAATGGCGGATACAGGTATCTTCCGAGGCAGTGGTACTGATCCGCCGCGATTGCCCATGGACTCTGATAAGTGTGTATCAGAGAGGGCGAGGACAAATGCTAACTACTCCGCAGCGGAGCACAGCGCAAACCTCCTAGTTTGACTGTCGCAACCAAAGCTGAGTGTGCAGCGATAATTACGTGATATTTGATATCCTCCCCGACTTCATCATTTCAACACAAGAGTGTGGGTTGATAGATGGTACCTGTGGACTGGGGGGCCCCAAGAGAGTAGAAGCATGTCGATGAGACATGCGGGTTCAAGAAAACGGAATCGAGCCACAAGGACTAACGAAGCCGTGCACCCGGCTAAGAGGGAATCTACCGCACAAGGCAAGTAGACGCGCCCAAAGTGGATGTGATCCCAGGAGCTACAGCGAAGAGCTCAGCACTGGGGCTCCAAAAGGAGTATGAAGAAAACGGAGTCGAGCCACAAGGGACTAACGAAACCGCGCAACCGTCTAGAGAGGGAATCTACCCGCATGGCAAGTAGACGCACCCAAAGGGATTGTGAGCCCAGACGTGCTACAGCGTAGAGCACAGTACCGGGGCGCTACAGTTAAGAGCGACGAGGTGTTTACAAGTAAACGTGACCAACAAACAAAGCGCCGACTGTCACATCATCAGGATATGTGACAGAGACGAAATTTTCGCGGCGAGGAGCAAAGGAGCGACGGGCAAAAAGTTGTATATATCGAGCCTGCGCTAACAAACGCACAGACCAGGCAGCAAACAACCAGCGATGAGAAGTCCAAAAGAGGCCTCACCAATGGTCATTCACCTCATGCAAGGAAAAGAATCGACACTCTAGAGCCTACATTAACATAGAAAGAAACAAAGTATGTAATCGAATGTCAACGTAGGCTCCGGGGTGTCCGGTCTTTTCCTTGAGTAAGGTACATCCGTATTTCTTACCGCTAACGCTATCAGCGCAGGCAACGTCTTCTCATTGTCAAAGACCTGTAGTTCTGAGATATAATGTAAAGGACTCAACGCAGGTCGATGACGGCAGTTGGTATCGTCACGTGCCTGCTGGTACCTGAATCCTTCTCTATCTTCTTTACGTCCAACCAAATTTAAACACCAGCCTGTGGGATCAACCATGAGATACTCCCCACCTCACCTCCCGCGTAAACCAACCACCACACCCATCCAACCATCTCCCTATCCCCTAGGCCTCCAAATCACCTGACCCTCACAAGCGAGCCGCCCCGCCAAGTCCCTCCAGTGCCACACCAAGCCCCCAACTTCCAACGGCGCAACCGCCATAACCAACAAGTGCCAACTTCCGATCTCGATCTGAACACGCGTTTCGCGCCAACAACCCCAACAAAACAACGACTTTTCAGTGTTGACTCAGCCCCAACGGCCGTCGACGCTCAAGCCACAGCTGTTGCGAGTCAAACCATGAGTCCAGTTATATGACATCATCGACCGCATCGACCGGAAGGAGCGATCCACGGGAGCTGCTTCCTCCGATTCCGAAGCATGGAAGGTCACACACGTGGACCAACTAACGACTAGCCTTAGCAGGGAAGGAGCGAACATCACACAGGGCACGCAACCAAGTTTGCGAAAGTCTAACGAGTCCTAAGTTTGAAGACACGAGGCAGGGAGATTTGACGAGTTGATCTTGAGCGTCATGAGCGATAGCATTCGTGATTAGTTATCTGCGTGTTCGTATACGAGATCTACGGATTCGCGTCGTTCTGTGTGTGACTACAATCTCCGTCTCGTAATAGAGAACATCCTCATTTCAATGTGGATAGTTATGCATAGTAGAAAACACCCAAGTCCTTAACGCCGTTTATGCGGTATCCAACAGTTTCTCCCGGAGCATTGATACAACTCTTCGGTGTTGGATCCCCCGCAATTCATAATTCATCCTCTACATGTATCACCGTGCCTCCGCGGGAACCTCTGCCGCTGGCTTTGGCATAGGCTTGAGCTCCGAGCCTGCCCCGCTCTCAGCGCGCTTCCGGCCTGTGAGGGAGAAGTGATGGCTCGAGCTGGGTCGCTCTTCCGTCTTGTCGGTGTTGTTGTTATCGCCGAAGCGCGAGAAGATGCTGCGCTTCTTTGGCTGCGGCTTCGGCTCGTCGTTCAGGCCCACCTCCTCGAACCCCTCCTCAGGCACTTGCTCGTGGCTTTCGCTGTGGCGGGGTTGTTGCATCGAGGAGCGCGGTGTGGCGCGCGAACGGCGGACGTCGAGCGAACGTCTGGTATCTACGGAGCGGCGCGCATCGAGCGACTGGCGGGGGTACGTCTCATGGACATTGTCTTGAATGGGAGAGCGCGCGGAGATATCCTGTGTGCATTAGCGGGGTCTTGCCACTGGTCGCATAACATACAAATGACCGCCTGTAGGAGTCGAAGCTCTCGCGCGAGATGCTAAACGGCTCATTCTCGGCGAGCAGACTGCGGTGATTTGAAGATGTGGTCGAGATGTTAGACTTGGAGTGCCAGAAGGTGGGCTTCTCTTGCTGAGGGCTCGGCTGTCGCAACGTCAATCAATGTCTCACGCGATGACATACGCGCGCGTCGCTCTCCCTCCTGCATCCACAATCACATGGGCTTAACATTGCTTACCGGTAGATACACGCCGCTGTCGTTTATTTCTATCACATGGTAAGCGCCCACTCAGCCGATGCAGTGATGCCGCCCCAGGAACATGCTCATGTTTGAGCCCCAGGCGCATTCGCAGGAAATCTCACCACTCAATTTGTACTCGACAGGGTCCTTGACCTGCACGGGTGCGGCGCCCGAAACAGCTGTGCTCTTGAAACCGTTCTCCGGCGCGCTCCGCTGGGCCTCATCGACGGCCTCAGGCACACCCGCACGACGAAAGGGATTGCGGATAGGCATGGTGGTAGGGCGCTAGGGATCAAACAAGGCGGTACGAGAACAGAGTGGGGAGTTTCAGTAGGCTGGTGTAGATTGAAAAGGCGAAGAGGAATGGTAGGTCGCGGCTGAGATCATGACTTCTGCGCGGCGCCAATCGGGCAGGAACCAATTGCCCTAATGTGGCATCGCCTCGGCACCTACCAAGTCCCGATTCAATCTTGGAATGTCCTCGTGTGAGAGGTTGGCGCAAAACCAAAGACGTCATGTCGCAGACGTGCAGACTTGATTGACTGTTGTCTGTAGAGATTTCATCAGCTGTCGAACCAGGCACGCTCTGGGGTGCAGATCAGACTGATCCCTGACGACGGAAGTCAGGTACCAGAGAGCCCCTCAGCTCACCACAGCCGCGCCTCAAAACAGCTTGTTTGCACCTCACACAGGCTGACCTGCGTTATCGCGACTAGAGAACTGCTCACCGGCGGTATCCTTACCTTTGCGCTGGCACGAACATTCGCTACGGCACCTTGCGCTAGGTGGATGTAATGCGGTGATGAGGCAACTCATCTAAATCAGGCTGCGACGGGAGGTTGCGCCTCATATCCGAAACATTGGAAGATCTTCGCGGTTAAAGACGATGGTTTCTGTGCCTCAGCCATCGGCCTCTGCACGATGCGAAGTTCGCACGGCCGACTCCACTGCTGTCGGCCCCTCTTTACTCGATCTGTGACCGGGGTAATATGTGCGGAACATGAGGCTGTGCCCATGTAAGCAAGGTCGGCAACGTTCGAGATCCCGGCGAAGTTACATGAGATATTTCGAGTGTAGACACTGCAGGTGATCCATGTGATGGAATGGTAGCTGCGAACTCTCGAGACGGACCTACCGCGGTAAGTAGGGTCTGGTGCTTGAGTCTCCCCGACAACACTTTGGAATGTTTTGAGATGCCGTTTGCCCTGGCTACGGATACTACGGATACTTGCTAACGGTAGCCGCATGGGAAGAAGGAATTCGCCGTACATGAACCACTTGGAGATGCCGTATCCGCGACGCTGGGTCGGAAGATCAGCGTACGGTAGTCAGGTCAACTCAGCCTTGGTGAAGTGTAGGAATGTAGTCGCATTAATGCCTTTTGTTCAGCAATATCGCGCTAGATACAGAGAGTGTTAGTAGCTACCTGTTGGTCAGTGGACAGCTCAACGCAAGGCTGCGTCCAGGCTGGACTGCTGCAAAGCAAACACGCATGCGGCAAACATCCCCACCGACGCTTGTCGAAGTGCATGGAGCAGATGCCAATCATGCCTTGCAGCTTCCCCTCACCTTGATCACCACTGCGGCCTAGTTGCAGCAAAAAGCTCGTTCACTTGTGCGGTTGTGGTGAGGAGCTCCTAATCTTATACGAGCGCGATTAGAATGCCCAGAAACTGGAAAGCGCCGGCGCATTATTTGAAGTTTTCGGATCATGAGATGGCATGGGTACGAAGGATTCGTGGATACGAGCACTAGGGTTGAGTCAATAATTTCGCGGCTTACTTTGCAGCACTAAATCGCCTTGTGCATCGTTTGCCTTGGCTGAGGCACCAAGACGGAATCACCATCATCGTCTCGTCATGATCCAATTTTCTAGAACGAGAAGTGGCTTCCGATGACTTGTGGCTGAACGCCGGGAGAAAAAAATGGAACCGACCGAGGGGCCAACATTGAGTACGGCCAACACGTTCACCATGGCAAGGGCTTTCGTTGGGTAATTGTGTAGAGATGATGCTTTTTGAAGGTACTGAAAAGAACAGTTAGTATGACTAACGATCGTGTGTGATCAGTGCGCACTGGCGAGTGGTAGTAGATTCCGCGCTCGCCTAGACAATCGATACACTCCCGGCATGGTGGCGAGCGAGGAGATGACCCCAAAGCGTGCGCTGGTGAAAAGAATTTGGAACAGGCCGGGAGCGGTGTGCTGGGAGTGACCGTTACACCAGAGTAGATGCGGTGCGCCGTGCCCCTCAAAGAAAGCAAGGACGTGCCCCGCTCCCATCCAGGTCTGTGAGATACCATCATGGTGGAGAAGCGAAAACCCATCTATCTGGTGGATCGATGCGTGAGATGAACCTTGAAGAGTGCCAAGCAGCGACGAATAGCGGAAGGCCTTGGGCAAGAAAGTGGGAA